TAGACCCCGAAGACGCTTTCCGCAGACGAATTCTCCGAAGACGAATTAGACCCCAAAGACGCTTTCCGCAGACGAATTCTGATGGCAATGTTGGATCGGATTGAGCAGATATGTGCCGATGGCTGAAGATGCAGTTTATAGCAGCAGAAATCTTTGATTGCCGCTTCATGTGCTGCCATGTACGTGGAGGTAGCATGTTTATGGTCTGCGTTCCACAGCAGCCGTTGTTTATGGCTATAGGCTATAGTAGTTACCCGAAGATTTGCACATCCCGTCATGATCATCATGGCCATTGCTTCTTGGGCTCACAGCTGTGAGCTGAGCCATTGGTCGGCATGGATAGCGAAGAGGAGGAGATCTGGAGATGCCATGGATGCCATGGATGCCAGTCGGTACTCTGAGGGTCTTCCGAGGGTGGAAGTTGACCGCAGGGACTGGGAGTTCGTCCGCAGGGATGTCCTAAGTGATCCTTTTTCCAGCTTTTTTCCCCCATGGATTTGGGGTTCGGGATTGGGACCGATCGCCGGATTTTTGAAACATATTAAACAGATGCAACATGGGGCTGAATCCCCCTGAACATGCACGTTTGGGTCTTCGTTGTGGTTCTCTAGTTTTGGGATGGCACCGGCCGGGAGCAGCGCTATGGGCCTCGCTACAGGGTGCGGAGATCTCAGTGCAATCCGGCCGATGCGGACATTGCTGGGAGATTTGGCTTTGCGGGAGCTTTGTTTGTGCATCCAGAAACACGCACATGTCACATGTCTGTCTGTGTGCTTTTTCATGTCCTTTGAGCAGTTCCATGATGATGTTGCAGGTGATCCCTGAACCCAAACACCGAATTCAAAGGAGCTGGAATCCACAATCTCAGACTTCCTCACAGCCTAGACATGAGAGAACACCTAGGGTCTACATAAGAAACCAATCTTGCATATTCATCACCCAGACTCTTAAACTCCGCAGAAGTCTCTTCATGTCATTCCTTCCGGACAAGGAAACACCTTCCCATGCCCTACCCGTGGCCTCAGATGTGTGTTTTGCATCAACCGACCGATGCACCTGGCAGATGCTGTCCTGTGGCTACAATATCGAAAAAGCATCATTCAAAATATTCAAGCCCACCCTACAGAATCCATCACAATCCTGGAACCTTCTTTGTCTTCAAGAGAGAAGGTACAGTTGTTACATCATGTTACATCCATTCATGGAGTTTGTGCTGCGATATCTTGGGATATCTCGGGGTGGTTTTTGTTTGCTAGCTTTTCCTCCTGAACACACTGGAACGTTGGAACATCAACTTTTGTTTGTCAAACATGAAAGCTGGACCATAGATTTGTGGTTTGCCTCCCAGACGGCCCCTGACTAACGACTGCCATTGCTACAACATACATATTACAGAAGACACGCACAGCTGTGGAGTGTGTGTCCGGGTTTGTTAGCTGGTGGATGGTGAACATGACAAAGGATAGACTGAAATAGGTACCACCAGGACCTTCTGACCGGAAATCCAAGGTCGCATTCCCGCAGTGGTCCTGGCCGCATCGAAAAAAGTAGCGTTATCGTGGCAGCGCCGAAAATAATCATTTCGACGCTGTTGTGCCGGTGATGGCCTTGTTTGTAAGGATTTTGTTGTTTGCAAGGTCCAATGAATTGGACCCAAATCCATTGATGAAAAATGCAAGGGTCATGACAGACATGATCAAATAGATAAGTTGTATTGTTGCTTTTCTTCCCTGACTCTCATCATGTTATATCAGGTACCATCCCCAATGGAAGTGATGGCAGCTGCCGGCGCAGCGTGATATACGCATGGTTTGGAGAAAAACCAGCCTTTGTCATGGGGGGATTGCATTCTGAGAGCAGACCATTCATACTTATCTTGAAGGTTTTGCGCATGTGTCCCCATGACGTGACTTACCCGAATATTCGACAAACTTCTGTTGGACGCGCTGGACCCATTTGGAGGCTAAGTTGAAGCTATGTTGAGTGAATTGTGGGCCCATGTTGGGCCTCATTTCAACCCAGACTCAAGGATGCCTGGCGTTTTGTATCATCTGAAGCCTATGTCAGGGTGATGGGAGTGGCAGAGTTTAGTGCAGATTTGCGCGAACAAGAGCTTCAACGCACAGGTTTACTGTTAAGGGTGCCCAGTCCCGTTTCAGTGGTACGTTGAGCTAAGTAGGAAGGCTATGTTCAATCATACCGTGCGCGGTACGGGGGCTTCTTACCTTTTAATACAACACAATGTCCAATTGTTGCGCTGTGTGTTCTGCCATATCTTGGACATGTGTTGGGGTTGCCTGCTGCTTCAACAGTGTCAAAACGGCCCCTGCTACGAAGAACCGTTTCGTGCAGTTTGGAGCATCAGACGGGGTCCTGTCACGTCAGGGAATGCGGCGTCACAATGGGGCAATGCGGCGTCAAAGGGGCCATGTGGCGTCAGGGAATGCGGCGCCAGAATGCGGCGTCAGGGAGTAATGTGGCGTCACGGGCAAATGCGGCGTCCGGGAATGTGGCGCCACAATGTGGCGTCAGGAGGTAATGCGGCGTCAGAGGGGCAATGTGGCGTCAGGGAATGCGGCGCCAGAATGCGGTGTCAGGGGGGGAATGCGGCGTCAGGGGATGCGGCGTCAAATGTGGCGTCAGGGAGTAATGTGGCGTCAGGGGAGGAATGTGGCGTCAGGGAAGAATGCGGCGTCAGGGGGTAATGTGGCGTCAGGGGGTAATGTGGCGTCAGGGAATGCGGCGCCAGAATGCGGCTAATGCGGCGTCAGGGGGGAATGTGGCGTCAGGGAATGTAACGTCGCAGTACTAGGAAAGTGGCGCCATAATGTGGCTGCAGCGTCAAGGTCAAAAGCGGGATCCCGTCTGCCGCCGCCCTGAATAAATAGACAAAGCTTAGGAGGTG